GTGGCTCAGTGGATAGAGCGTCGGCCTGTGGACTGAAGGGTCCCGGGTTTGATTCTGGTCAAGGGTATGTACCTTGGTTGCGGGCACATCCCCAGTAGGGGGCGTGCAGGAGGCAGCTGATCCATGATTCTCTCTCATCGTGGATGTTTTTCTCTCTCTCCCTCTCCCTTCCTCTCTGAAATCAAAATATAGTTAAAAAAAAAAAAAAGCAAGTGTCACAAACACAGATGCACGGGTGGCACCGTCCCAGACATCGCCTGACACACACGAGGAGGCGGTGGGCTCGGGACCCCTGTGGAACGCAGGCCGGCCCAGCGGGGCAGCCGGGACTCTGGGCCAGGCAGCAAGGTGGGTCTGGTGCCCCCGGCTCGGCTGACGTTCCCAGAGAAGCCAGGAACCCCAGCTCTGACGTGAAATCTCTCGGTGTTTAAACCGTGGGAGCGGATTTGAATGTTGCTTTAAACACCGTTCAGGCCAAAGGAAACATATCTGGGGCCCGAATGGCACCTGCAACATCTGCTCGTAAAGTTCACAGGGGGCATGAGTTCGGTCCGTGAGAAGGGGGTGCGGGGCAGCGTACAATGATCGGTTTAGAGAATAAATGATCAGATGTTTCTCTAAAACACCGTGCAAGCCAAAGCAAACAGAAGCTGGAGGTACCATTCTGTATCGGCCAGTTGGACACGTTTACAGAAAATACTAGAGGCCCGGTGCACGAAATTCATACACTTGGTGGGGGGAGGTCCCTCAGCCCAGCCTCCGCCCTCTCCCAGTCCAGGAGCCCTCAGGGGATGTCCGACTGATGGCTTAGGCCCGCTCCCCATTTAAGCCGGCAGTCGGACATCCTTAGCGCTGCTGCGGAGGTGGGAGAGGCTCCCGCCACCACCGCTGCACTCACCAGCCTTGAGCCCAGCTTCTGGCTGAGTGATGCTCCCCCTGTGGGAGCGCACTGACCACCAGGGGGCAGCTCCTGCATTGAGCACCTACCCCCTGGTGGTCAGTGCATGTCATAGCGACCAGTCGTTCCACCATTCGGTCCATCTGCATATTAGCCTTTTATTCTATAGGATAAGTTGGGCCCAGCTGGCATGGCCCAGTGGCTGAGCATCAACCTAGGAACCAGGAGGTCGCGGTTCGATTCCCGGTCAGGGCACATGCCTGGGTTGCGGGCTGGATCCCCAGTGTGGGGCGTGCAGGAGGCAGCCAATCCCTGATTCTCTCTCATCATGGATGTTTCTATCCATCTCCCTCTCCCTTCCTCTCTGAAATGAATAAAAATATATTTTTTTTTAAAAAAGAACTATCTGTGCAAATCAAGACAGGCCTCTGACACTCAGGCTGACGAGCTAATGACCACACGTCTCCCAGCAGCCTTTGCTCTGACGGACACTTGGTCTGCGGGGAGCAAAGGGCTCGGTGGCCGGGCCGACGCCACAGCCGTCCTCGCGTGGTCCCCTCGCCTCAGCTCGCAGACT